CCTGCAAAAAGAGGGGGGAGGGAGAGAGAGTGTGTGTGTGTGTTTTGTGTTCCTGCTAATGTGGAGCCCAGTAAATGAAATAATTTAAAGCCGAACTTCAGGCAGATATAAAAGACACAATTTAATGCAGCATTGTATTGATTAACAGAACAATAAATCTATTTTTAGAAAATAGGTGTACTTTAGAAAGAAGTGCATTTATCCATTTTTTTTTCGTACGATAATCGCGCAGTGTCTGGGTAGCGTGCAACAGCTAATACTGTACAATCGTTCGACGTTTGACTACCTAGCATGTTCAAAAACCTGTGCATAATTGTACGATAATCGTTCAGTGAGTAGAGTAATCGTTCGTCAATAATCGCACTGTTCGTTCAGCGCATGCGTTAAACGAATGAAAAAGCGGAAGTAGAATGACGGCAGCTGGCTGTACTCGCAGCATCCACACCTCTGTTCTGGTACCCTCATGGACCACTCGCTCAGCCATTGCTGGGGCTACATGTTGCGTACAGATGCAAGAACCAATGCTCACACCGAAATCCATGTCTCCTCATGTAGCTGACACACATGCTGACCACTCCCCATGTGCACCACACATGAGGCTGCTGAAAGTGACCCCCTAATAATTGGCATGAACCCCATCCAACGCAAACCATGCAACATGAATAACATGTCCATTCTCCTTTCGGACACAATTTGATAAAAGTCAAAGTGTCAAGTATGCCCTACACATGTGTATGCTGTGTGTCCCTGGCCATTGCACAGCTGTGAAATGCATCAGGCAAAGCAGGCATTCCCACAAAGAAACATCCCTGACAAATGCATGCACAGCATCAATCAAGCAGGAAGACTGTAAAGCGGTCATGCCTGAAATGAGGACACAGACACAAGGCATATATTAATCAAATATTTATATATGAAAAGTCATAAATATAAAGTCAAGTAAAAGAAGGGGCCTTGTAAACATGGGAAGGGCAGTGCAAATGCCAACGTGGCAAATGTGGCAAAACGTGGAGCTGATGTCTCCTACAGCTTCATGACTTCGTCATGCACATCCTGGAGAGCACGGCTCAACTCCACCATGTGCTCCATCACATCTTCCAGGACGGAGCAACAGCGGCTAACAGCAGCGCAAACTCCACCCACATGTGGTGATGCAACATGACCTAGAATGTAAACATCAAATACAACACGCAAATACAATATGTTCCCAAATTCACTGGGTATGTCATTGGTCAAAAACAGGACATACCAGATGGCAAAGCGGAGGAAGGTCCGCCTACCCTCACGCTCCCCTCTGACGCAGCTTCCTCAAGTACCACTATCATGCAAAAAGGCAATGGAAAGCTTAACATGCAGCGTATAATCAGCTCATCTGTCATTTAACATGCATTAAAGTTCACATACCAGAACCTGAGCTCTTTGACAAGGGACTCTTCTCCTCGCTCTCAACAAGGTCCACGTTTACTGTAATGGAATCAACACATGGAGGTCATAAACATGTGAAGTACATAGACCATGCCCTAATGTTGTCATACAACAGTACATACCAGAAGAAGAGGACAAAGAGGAGTCCACATCCTCGACCACCACATCAGCCTCCTCCACAACTGCTTGCTCCATGGCCACCTCTGAAGCACCCTCGCTGGCCTGGCTCCTCCGCTCCACACTCCTCTGTCCTTTAACATCAGAAAAATACAATAGTCATATGCGCCATCAACAACACAACATGTACATATATGTGTCACAGGTCTGGACATGATGCATAGACTGACACCTTGTCTCCTACAGCTTTTCATGGACAGACATGAAAGTTGGAGGAAGAAAATACATCATATGTATCAAACTACATTACAGCACTGCATGCTCCACTACTCCTCTGAGACCAGGCCTGGATGGCCACATCCAACATATCTCCCATCATATCTGTAGATGCAATTATAATGAAGCTCACACATACCCCTACGGATCAACCTGTGGATCCTTGCAAGCTGGGCAGTCTCCCTCAACTTTAGGTCACACCAGCATTTGTGCAACTGGTCTTTGGACATGGTGACATTAAACTTGGCCTGCAAGCTCTCTATCACTTGTTCGAGGATCCGGTCCTTCCTTATGTTCTTCTGCTCATATTTCTGCAGCTTGCAGTCATAATCCTGCTGCTCCATCATGGACACTAACTCCACCATTTCCTATTACGAGGTAATCGTACGCACCTGTATGAAAGGGCGTGGGCAGGGAAGCCATCAGAAATTTTGGGGCCCCTTACACACACGGCTTTAGGCCGGGCCCCCCCCCCCGCGCCGCTGGACGCAGGGCTTAGTGATGCGCTGGACGCAGGGCTTAGTGACGCGCTGGACGCAGGGCTTAGTGACGCGCTGGACGCAGGGCTTAGTGACGCGCTGGACGCGGGGCTTAGTGACACGCTGGACGCGGGGCTTAGTGACGCGCTGGACGTGGGGCTTAGTGACGCGCTGGACACAGGACCCACCTGAGAGTGACCCTGCAGAGCCCACCATAGATGCTGCACAGCCCATCTGAGACTGTCTATGGTGGGCTCTGAAGGGGTCTCAGGTGGGCTGGTCAGGGCTGCATCCCTCTCTCCTTTCCTTCCTTCCTTCCTTCCTAGCTCCTCTTACCTGCACACATGGCCTCGTCTGCCGCCGGACCAGCCAGAAGTGACGTCACTTCTGGCCAGTCCGACATCAGACGAGCAGCGTCGCTGATGGGGCTCTAGCTTGTCTCAAAGCCGCTGGAGCGGCAATGCGTCGGCCGATAGTCATATAAGGGACCCGGGCGTGCCCCCCAGGCTGCCCGGGCCCCTTACATGAGTATCGGCCGTACCCACCTGATGGCTGCCCTGGGCGTGGCCAGCGGACCGACATTAAATACGATCGGGCCTTCGTATTTCCGGTCTCAAGTGAAGCCATACCTTTTCGAAAAAATGATCGCTCGTTGGCTGGTATGTAGTATTCCATAACAAATCGTGGCCAATGCATGACAGGAGGGTATGTGTAGCAGACCATAGCACATTAAGTGACTCTATGGCATCAGACAATATAAGCAGAGGTGGAGGTGACATGTGTCCTATCTGTGGCACAGTTTAACCAGAAGCACAGATGAACACTATTCCCATTGACATTGCCTACCATGTGCTTCACATGCATTTGCCCCAGCTATGTTTGGAAAGGAGGATGTGGCTGACAAATGGGCCTACTGCAGTGTTTCACACATTGTCAACATTGGAATGAGCATCATGTTCATAAAACTAGCATGAAGGACAGGGCCTGGTTGAGGCAGGTGTATTTTATGTTTTGACGATGTGCCTGGCACATGTGTGTTTTTCTCATACCGCACCATATCTATATGTTTCCCTATTGATAATATGTCACTGCCCATTACCACATGTCCAAGGTGGATATAAACCATTGGGGTAGACATAGTCTTACAATGTGTAGGTGTGTGATTTGTTTTTTGCATGGCCAGGTTGAGGATTGGACACCCACAAATCAGTCTGTCTCTCAATTCCACAGGCACTATGACAGAGCGTTTCACTCACCCCCGAAATTCCTGACCCAATTCATTGATCTATATCGCGAACTACCATGTCTGTGGAGAGTGCAGAGCAAGGATTATTGTAATCGCTCCAAACGAACAGAGGCTTATATGAAACTTGCTGAATTATGTAAGACCATCTCGCCATGTGCAGACATGAATTACGTGAAACTGAAGATAGCTAATCTACGGACCGTCTATAGGAAAGAGCAGAAGAAAGTTAGCTCATCCCACAAGTCAGGCGCGTCTGCTGATGATGTGTACCAGCCCAGGCTCTGGTATTATGAGTCTCTGTGGTTCCTGGATGATGATGAAGAACCACGGCCATCTGTCAGCAGCCTGCAAACACCACCTACTCACAAAGAGAGTGCTGCGTCCGATAGCGAAGAACCTTCCACGGAAATTGTGGAGAACACACAGGTAATGCATTATGTAATGACCATGTGAGCTTAGGTGTAATAATGATTGTGTAACCCGCCATATGTATGTAGAACACACAGATTGAAAGATCAAAATCATAACGTTTATTTAACACAAGCAATAATGCATAATTCAATATTTTTCGCAGCAAAATAAGACATGCATTAAATCAACACTTGACTTTTTAGGAAGTCAATGGGAACACAGGTGCAAACTACATGCATCCCTGCCATTCCACTGAACCAGGGCCATTGAAATACTGTAAGTATTTTACCCTGTTCTGCCATGCGGACGTGGTTGGCAAACGTGAATGCATGGGTCCCAAACCATCAAGGGCTACCACATCATGCCTCCACTCCCCTGGCTGTATGATGCCACTCACAACATCCTCCTGGTCTAGGATGTGTGTGGGCATGTGGGAGTTGCCCTGACGCCGTAGATAATTATGAAGGGTACAGCAGCAGTAAACCAATATATCAACTTTGTGTAGACCCATGTTGATGGGAGTGTGTAGAATGCGGAATCGGTTCACCATCATCCCAAATGCATTCTCCACCACTCTGCGTGCACAGGATAAGCAATAGTTATATATGCGCTGCTGTGCTGTCAGACCGCGCATGGGGAAGGGCTTGAGTAGGTGATCTCCAAGGGCAAAAGCTTCATCAGTGACAAAGACAAAATGCATGCCATCTACGGTTTCCTCATTGTTTGGTAAGTTCAGGGTACCATTCTGAAGCCGCATGTTGAAATCACTCCGCTCCATCACACCACCATCGGAGTGTCTTCCATTCCTGCCAATGTCCACATACAGGAATTAATAAGTAGCATTAACCACTGCCAGTAGGATAATGCTAAAGTACCCTTCGTAGTTAAAATATAATGAACCCGAGTTTGCAGGATTGCTGGTCAGGGGGAATTGCCTTACGGCGCACTGTATCAACCTTCTTGATGTGGGGGGACACCAGAGCCAGTAGGTGGTTGAATGCTGCATCTGACATCTGGAGATAATTCCTGAAGTCATCAGGGTTGTTTTCCCTTAATTCCTGCAGCAAAGCAACGTGCGAATAAATGTCACGTTTCTGCAACCAATTCTTGGTCCACAGTCTTCGACGCGATGACCTGCGTTGCTGCCAAACTTGAATGAGAGAAAGACCAACAATCACAATAGCCATGCTATTCATATCCTCAGCCATTATTTGAACGGTCGTACGATTATCGGATCGACCAGGGTCGCGACAAGTTGGGTGCGTTGAGCGCTTATCGTGCGATTTTCCAATCGTCGAGCAGTATTTTTCGTACGATAATCGAGCAGTGTATGGGCACCTTAAAGGTGCCCATACACTTTACAGTAATTTAAAAAACGTACGATCTGCCCATCTTGGACAGGCAGATTGTACTTGCGATCATCGCAAGCCGGCCCCCCTGAGGGGCGGGCTTCCGATGGCTGCAATGCTGAACGGGCAGTGTGAGTCTCCAAGTGTGAGCATATTAATGAAGTTGATAAATTCAATGCAGGTGTGCCTGGGGGGTAGCCTTGCGATGATCGCAAGTACGATCTGCATGTCCAAGATA